TCGGACTCCTATCGAAAGCCATTTATGTCTAGTTTGGATGGGCAATTAAACACAACTTATGTTTTTTCCAACATAATTGTACATGATTTCTTTTGCAACATGTTTGTTTGTTCCAATTTTGAGCCCTGCTTGTGTAAAAAATGCTATAAATAGCCGCAATGCTTGCTATTTCACAACAAAAAGAAGGGTATTTTCTTTGATCAATAATTATTTGGTTCATTATTTGTGGTAAACAATATTTACCTAAACTACCTTGAGTTACAAGGTCATGGGAAAATATCATTAAATGATCAAACTACCTCAAAAATATCACGGGGGTGGTCAAATCAATTAATTTATCAATAGTGTTATTTTAAAATCATTTTTCGAAGTATAATCTCAACTATTTTGTTAAAAATAACCAAAATGCCCATGTTATAAGTTTAGAATCACAAACAAGTGGAGCCATTTTTCTAAGGGTGTGGTTTCTATTGGGTTGCAACCTTAAACAATCCAATTAAGGCACACCTCCAAATTTTATCATAACAAGTAATTTTGGTAAGAAAAAAATTCTTAGGATTATCTTAAAATCTATTTTCACATCTAATTATAAAATTTTAAACCCCAAAAATGGTTAAAATCAAGTAGATCTATAAATATATGAAAATGTTGAAAATGGGCGGTCTAGATAATGTATTGCAAGATGCACTATTTTTGGGACTCAAAATCTTTTTTTTTTTCTTTTCATATTCATACATCTCGATGTCGAAATGATCAATTAGAAGTTTTTTCAATATTAAAACAACCTTTCTCTAATGGATTTTTTAGGTGCATATGTAATTCAACATTTTAAGGTTGCAACCCTATATAAACTTTTTTCATTATTACATATATATTAAATGGCCCGAGTCAAACAACTTAAACACCTATACTTGTTTTGAGTTATAAACTAGGAACACTTGCCTTTTAAATAAATCTTTTATTTTGAATTTGGAACATGGAACAAGTAAGATGTTTATGGTATTTGACAATGATTTAAAAAAACGGATCAGTTCCTCGGATTGAGCACCCCAAAACCGATCCAGATCAGTAAATCAGCGATTTGGATCGGTGAATTACACAAAAGAAGAAGCATAGAATTATCATAAATGAAGTATATAATCATACATGGACTACAATAAAAGCATAAAATTCGTAAAATACGACTTAAAACCAAAACGAAATACAATATTATTCTTCATTTTGGTCATGCTATTGCCATTCATTGAATTAGCGTGACAATTCATTGATTCGATCTAAGAATGAATCATCCAAATAGTGGCCACCTAGCTATATCAAAATCCCTAAGTGTTAGTGTTTGTGTTTTATTACTTTATTTATCCTTCATGCTCACATACATTGACATGTTTGCCCCTACCCTCTTGTTGTTAGGATTCGGAATATGAATAATTTGATTGGGATAGAATGACAAAAAATGGTAAGCAACAAAAAATCAATTTTACAATTAAAACATACAACCAAATGAATTTTTAACTATGGAAAACAACAAAAAATCTATTTTATAATAAATGGTAAACAACTAAAAAAAAGTAAATTATTTTAAAACATTTAGATTTCAGTAATTTAACAGATTTTCTTTGATAATTGGTAAAAAAAAATACAAAACAGATTTTTTTGATAATTCATAAAAAATACAAAACAAACAAATTTATCTCAAACAAAAATCGTAAAAAAACATATACAAAACAACAAATCATGTTAGTTGGTTTTTATGAAAGCTAGTCTTAATACGATCATTTGGAACAAGAAAAAATGGATCAAATTGATGAAGAATGGCCCAATGATTCACAGTTTTGCGGAAAACCCAAACCCTTTAAAAAAACCAAACATCTCGCTCAATCCAAAAAAAATCGTAAAAAAAAAATAATAATTTAGAAAACAACAAATCACATGAACTAATTTTGATGTATTACCACAATCATTCAACAAAAATTAGAAGCCAGTATTACCACAATCATTCAACAAAAATAATGGATCAAATCGATGAAGAATAGCCACCAAAATTAAGATTAGGCAGACAACCCTTAGCTGCTCAAAAAATCCCAATTTTCAGAATCACGAAAATGTGTTTTTTTGGGGTTCGATCCAAAGCCCAATCATTGTTTTATGGACCTTAAAAATCATTCCCCTACATTATTGATAAAAAAAATGACGGATTTTTATAGATCCAACAGCTTTTTCTATGAAAATGTGGCGAAGCATGGGTTTTATTGTAGTATGCCCATTTTTACTGTAGTGACTCACCATATTACTGTCGCAAATTGCTGTGTTTTCATTGAAAATCACCATTTCAGCTCTAAAAATGCATGTTTTTTTATATTTCAAGAGAAATAGCATGGGATGATCGATTCTCGGGTTGACTTGAGAGATTCTGTTCCGATTCGCCATTTTTTAAAACATTGGTATTTGTCTTGAGCTAATTGGCCCTAGCTAAAGGATGAAAGTAGCCTCATTGTAGAACATGTGTCTTTTTCATTAAAACTACTTGTTTTTGGAACCCAAAATAAGTGGGTATTTTGATCATTTGGCTGTACTCATGTCTTGGATCATAAATCCCTTGCTCAATTTGGATTTCAAATCTAGAATAAGGTATCTTTAGGCATTTTTAACAGAATAGTTGAGGAACAAGGCTGGTTACAAGTTGGGCTTGGGTCAGCTCCTAGCCCTAGCCCGATCAAATTTGAGATCTAAAAAGTATCTCTAGTATGTATTTTGCCTGAGGGAGGAAATAGATAAGTTTTATTTATTTGATCAAAGGTAAATGTAGTCCACCAAAGTGAAGAAATGTGAAAAAGGCCCCATTTGAATAAACCATTTATTAAAGGTAAAATTATTAAAACGCATCAAAGAGATTGGTCTGTTTAATATTTTACTTATTTCATTCGATTTAATTTAAAAAAGCCCATCAAAATACACATAGTGGTGAGTTCAAATAGTTGAAAACCAAGAAAATAATAAGTAGTTGAAGGATAAAAAAAAAAAAACAAACGAAGTTCACAAATTAACAATACTATCACAAATTCCCTTGTATCAATTATATCAAATAACAATGTCATTCTTCTCCTACCCACATTGGGGCAAACAGAGGAACATAATACGTGAGGCCCTTTCCTTTCCTATTTATTAAAAAACTAGAATGAAAAAGAGCAAAAAAAAAAGGACACGGTTTCTATGAGTCCATGTAGAAATGAGTTACCTCTTAAAAATCTATTTTTAAGATGGATTTTTAGATTTTTGGACTTAACTTTTAAGGACATGTAATCTTGAACAAAGAGATCATGAATATGAAAAAATAAATAAATTTTGAAAACTTAGAAATAATAATTCTATTAAGAATACATTTGGACTGTTAGTTTCAATTGTTTTTAGATGAACCACCTAATTACATCCATCTTTAAGATGGTGCTTTATATTTTGGGACCGCATATTGTAGAAATGCGGTCCAGCCCGCATAAACATTTTTCCAAAAAAAAAAGGACCAGTTTTTTGCTTGCTTCCAAATAACAACCTTCCTCAAGGGGTTGTTGGGCGCTCCAAACGGGACAAAACCATGGGACCAAAGTTTTAAAGGGGAAAGTCTATCGGTGATCCACATGACCACACAAAACAAAATAACACGATTCATTATCCATCAAACGGTTGATCTAGATTAGGGCCCAAGCACAACACAACTCATTATTAATTCTGGATTATTCCCCACTGTACACATTTTGGTACAAGGTCACACACACTTTTGTCCATCAGATTTCGAATCGGGTGGTTGTAAGAGTGCTATTGACTAGATTAAACATTCAAAAATAAAAAATCTCAAATTTCACGACACACCCAAAGCTATCCAATTTGATATCTAATGGCTATGGTTAATTATGACCTTCTTATAACAAGGATGAATAATGTCATAATATACAATTCCATGTGCTTTCCGATTGACATAAAATGAAATGGGAAAGACACTTAGCTTTCCAATTGACCTAAAATGAAATGGGAAAGATACTTAGCCTTCCAAACACCTTCAATATGCAGCCTTTATATGCTTTGTACTATTTACATAACGTGCTCCCATAGGAGCAAACTATCAATTTGCTCCTCCGGTACAACCTAAGCTAAAAGTATTCCTAGACCTTAAATTTCGGGGATATCAAATTTTGAACTTACAGTTCAACCTAAGAAAAAATGAAAGAAAAATAAAATATTGAAAAACAAAAAATTTCAAATTGCACAACGCCATCCAAAATTTGGAAGTATTGAAGAACTCAAAATCTAATTTTCTCTTTTGAAAAATTAGTGTATGCATCAAGGTACACATATCTACATTTGTGTCCCCTAAAGCATAAAACATCTAACTTAAAGATGGATGTAAATGGTGGTCCTCCAAAAAAAAGTTAAAACTAGTAGTTTAAATTATTATTTTTAATTTTTTGAATTCCTTTATTTTTACATATTCATAATCTATTTGTTGGAAATTATATATTATTTGAAAATTAGATCTAAAATCTATCTTAAAATTAAAATTTCAGTGAAGATTCTACAAATGAGTCATACAACAAAGCTCTAAACAATCAAATTAGAGCCCACCTCAAAAATTTTACTAGAAGAGGTTGTTTTGATGCTCATATATCCTCAAATTGATCAGCTTGATATTAAGATACATGGACATAAAAAAAAAAAAAGATTTTAAGTTTTTGCAATAATGCATTTTGTAACGCATTTTCAGACTGTCAATTTTTTAGATTTTTTAATTCTCATATATCTGCTCGATCTATACTATTTTTGAAGCTTTAAATTTTATAATTAAAAATAAAAATGTATGTCGAGGCTATCGTAAAGATTTTCAATATTGAAACCATATTTCTCAACATTATTTGATTTAAAAGGCGCTCAACACTATTTGATTTAAAAGTGCGCTTTACTTTGATTGTTTAGAGCGTCGGCTCTATACAAACCGCACTCATCACAAAAACCCTCTCAGGCTCCTCTTTTGCTCCATGGATGGAATATACATATGCTCCCCTGGGAGCATATCTGTTTTCTTGTTGACGAAATTCCTTGTACTTTCTCGTTTACCCTAATTTTCCAAGGAAAAAAAAATGTCTCTCTGAGCTCAAATTCGACCTCTAGGGTTTTCCATTATGCGACATTACGTTCATTAAAGCTTTATCCTCAAAGCCTTAAGAATTCCTGTTGCTTTCCTGCATCAACCATGATGCTTTTTTGAACTTTAGGGTTTTGGCTTTCTTTCCCGCTCCATTTTTGAATCTTACTTTTCATGCTTTAGGGATCGCCATTGCTGCAATTCTATCCTCTTTGAAGCTTCTTCGAGTTTTTGGGATCTTCATTGTTGTTGATTTCTTTGTACTTCAAGCTTATTCAGGCTCTGTATTGGAAAGAAGCACATCGGGAGTCTCATTTGTTCAGTAAAAATGGACGAAGGTTCTGAAACACGAGAGCTTGCTTTTTTGTGAACTATATTGCTTGATATGTTGTATTAGCTTTAAATTCATCTCCTTTCCTTTTTTGTGGTCATTTTTTATGCGTTTCAGTGCATGGAGATTCCTTCGCTGCAAAGAGGATGAGGAAGCTTGTTCATCGTCGCTCGGTTGATTATACAAGCACTGTTGTGCGACATATGCAGGTGAAGCTTAATCTCTCTGCTTGTCCTTCTAACTTATGTATTTTTTGTCCTGATTTGTAGTTACTCTCTTAAAATTTGAATGGTTTGATATATACATTATGATTTGTGGGCCAAAAACTTTGTTTATATCCCTGGAAGAGGAGTTCCTCTTGAAAGGAAGTTTTTACTAATTCTATATTTATATTTTTGAGAAACACTGATCGTACATTTATTATCATCCAAAGGAAGTTTCCTTCTCTATCCCTTTTGCAAATTGATTCTGCATTCAAACCAAATTGAGTTGAGATTGTTCTTTAACTCTGTTTTCGAATAACCTGTTATTATTGAGTACTCATGCCATTGGTAGATTAACGTTTTCTTCTTTTTTTATTGTTCAATACCATTCAAGAAATGGGAATATCGCTTTTTTATTGCCATTGATGCTTGGTTTCCATGTCTCACTAGATACTTGTACTATACATAGGTTCCTTGCATTTCATCCTAATTTCCTCCTTTCTTTGCAACTAAATTTATCACTTTTAGGGGATAAAGGTATTGCTGATATGGCTAAACTAAGGTGATACTTTTCTTTTTCCCAAGGAGTCCTTTCCGCCTTTGCATCTTTTTTTTTTTTGGTAAAATAGATCAGAACTCCAGCACTGATTGACTTGGATTGGGAAATCTTATTAATTTCTACAAAATTCATACTGAATTCCTGGAACAGTTGGCCAACCAATTTTCTAGGAGGAGATTGTTAGAAGTATCACTTCAATAATCAACCGTAAAGGGTATGATTCAAAACTTTCCTTCAAGCACTACTCAGGCCTCCACAGCTGTGATAATTGGACCCCAAAGCAGCAACTCTCTATGGCACTTTTAGTGGAATTAAGCTGAATTAAAGGAGTGAGAGGGTGGTCTAGGCACTTAAACAACCTCTTGAGTGTCAGGTTAGAGGTTATCACTCAATACTGTTACATGCGTATTAATGAGCATGAATTGCCAACAAATGTTTTTGGGGTTGAACAAATGTTCTAAACTGGCCAGTAGATGTTTTTGATAGTGACACCATTCATGCGTAGATAGACTGACCTATTTGCTGATCGTTGTGTCCACCATACAATGGATCATTATGCATCAGACATTGGAGTAATGTTTTAGAAAATCAGCATTACTGTAGTTTGGTTACATGTTGGCCATTCCTGTCAAGTAGCCACAATCTACAACGCACGGTTCATTGCAAAAGAAAAGTGTTGATGGACTTGATGGTTAGATTATAACGTTGTGTCAATATCATTCAGATGTTTCCTTTGTTTCCTTTCAACCTTAAATGGAATACCCCCAGAACATCCAATATATTAAATACAGGGGCTATTTTTTTTGTATGGTAAGTAATTATCAAAGAACCTAAAGGTTAGCATGGTATATTCCCTCTTTGCAAGCTTTCTGAAAGGTCTATTTCCACACACGCATATATTCACATACATTCTCATGCACCTATCATTCTAGAAAAGAAGTTATGTCTATGTGATTTGTTGGATGTGGTGCCTATAACTTAATAAGATTGAGTTTTATGTTCTGCAATATGTTGGGTGCATTCCAACTGCATTTTTATTCCTTGGAAAGGTTATTCGGGTTTAAGCAAGAAGTTTTTTTCAGGAATATAAACTTCAAAGTTTATCTGCTATGTACTAGTTTCTATATGGCACAATTGTGCACCATTTTAAATGTTTTATTTTGAAGGACTTGATAGCCCCAACTGAAAGGATTACCTTACATTTAATCAATGTCAAAATCTTTGTCCTTTGCTAGGTTCGCATGTGGCAACGTGATGCAAAGGATAGAACAGAATTGCAACCGACCCCAGCTGCAGCAATTGATGTTAGTGCATGATCATCTTTTTTAGAGGTTGTAGGAGGGATAACAATGATATTGACACTATTAAAAGAGGACTAGTTCCCGCACCCACTTTTTATACTAATCATACACATTATGTGTAACTACCCCTCTCTTAGTGACAAGGTCAAGTTAGCTGGATGGGGTGCTGTAAAAATTAACCCGTTTATTGAAATTGCTTTTGCTATTTGTTGTATCTATAATTTGTTCAATAATTGTGCCACTGTTTTGCGTCATGTGCATGTTAATGATATTCAATTTATGATGTAAGTTGCTCTTGTTGGCAGATGTTGCCGACTATAGCATATGCTCACAATCCATCTACAAGCTTTGCTACGAAATTTGTCCATGCCTCTACTAATAAGAATCGGTGTTCAATCAACCGAGTTCTGGTAAGTTTGCTAAAAATTTGTAATACCAAGGTATGGTTGTTTAGTTTACTCAAAATAATGCAATGGCTGGAGCTTGAATGAGATAATTTAACTTAGTCATGTCAAATCTTCTTTGTGCTTGGTTTTTCTCATTGACAATTATATATTTATTGTTTATCTAGTTCTCATGTCTTGATACTTCTTAATTGTATTACCTCTATGTATTCAATATCATGAGCCAAAGATTATACATTTATTCTTCCAATGAAAGTTATGGTTGATAACTAGCATATTTTGAATCATCTTTGACTGAAAGAATTTGAACATTTGAAATTGAATTCAAGAAATATATCCAAGTGTACCTTGTAAATTTGCATCCCCTGATTTGGAGGCAAGTAGGGTTGCACTCCACACATTTGTGTGAGCTATTTCAAAATATCCTTTGGTTTTATTTGAAATAGAAAGAAATATGCAATTGATTGCTTAGTTAGAGAACAACTCGTGGTTAGTTACCGTTGGATGTTGAAATGCAATTAGACATCAATAATTATAACATTTTATTTTGTAAATTTTTTTCTGAAAGATAAATGGCTGAATGGGAAAGTGAATGAATTTATCTGGAGGGGTGAATCGTATACATCAAGTTGCATCCCCTATTGCAAACAAATATTTCCCACAATCATAGTTTCTATTTTAACTTTAGAGTGGTTTTGGAGTGGTTTCCTCGGTAGTCAATCTAAAGTAATGAGAGGCAGTCAGTAGTAATGCGCTACACATCTTGTATATTTCTTCCACGTGGGCTGTGATATTTCTTAGTAAGGGGAGTCCCCCCCCCAACACCCAACAAAAAACCCAAAAAATAAAATAAATCTAATGATGTTCTGTTAGTTCCGTCCTACCACAAAAGCATTACAAAATGATTGTATGGTGGCTTACAAGCCCACGTGAAGGCCCTTAGCCTCCATCATCTTGTCTCAACAACCTGCTAGGTTGTAAAGGCTGCGCACACTACACATTGCTCTTTTTGATGACCCATGGCTCCAGGATGTCCAACGTTAACTACATAGCTAACATCGAGGTTAGGCATAACACTGTGGGGTTAGGCAATGAATCATGACTTGCCAACTATGATTCATGGATGTGGATGCCCTTAACGAGGAAAGGAGAAAGATTTTGACATTGATTAAATGTTAGGGAAATCCTTTTCATATGGGCTATCAAGTTGCAATGACAAGGATATCCTTTCCATTGGGGCTATGAGGTGGTGAAAATTGTCTTAAATTGCCTCACTTGCCATTGTAGTGAGCTTGGCTCTAGAACTTTATCGAATGGATGTCAAGATGATATTTCTTAACGATTATCGGTCATCAAGGACAATGGGAGTTTCATGATCTTGTCATTATAGGTCGACGAGATCCTAATGGCAGGAAACTACAAGGAGATGATCAAAGTCGCTAAGGAGTGTTGTCGTCCTCTGATTTTGATGTGAAGGACATGGGCGAGGTGCATTATGTTTTTGGTTTTGAGGGTTTTGAGATCAAACATAATAATTCTAAGAGATTCATTAGCTTGTCTCGAGAAGATTTACATTAAGAAAATTTTAGAATGATTTGCGATGCATAATTGCAATCCTCCAACATAGGCCCGTGGTTATGGATGTTTGCATAAAGACATGGAGGAGAAAGGGTGAAAGTAATGGGCGTCGAAGAACTAGGTGGTGGAAGTTTAAAAAATGAGAAAATAGACTTATTTAGGAATAAATTAGTTGAAGAAGGTTTGAACATAATGTCAATGTAATTTGGAATAAGATGCCTGAATGCATCAAGAAAGTGGCAAAAGAAGTTTTAGCAGAATCTAGAGGGAAAAAAAACTTCGATGAGGAAACTTGGTGGTGGAATGATGAGGTTCAAAAGACCATTAGCGAAAAATGATCATGTTATAAAACTTGGTAGTATAATAGAAATGATCAAAACTTAGAATAATATAAAAATGCTAAGAAAAATGCTAAACAAATAGTAAGTCAAGCTAAACTTAAGGCATATGATAATCTAGTGAAAAAGATATCTTCAAATTAGCATAAATAAGAGAGAAAACAATGTAGGGATCTAAACCATATTAAATGCATTGAGAGTGAGGATTAAAGGGTCTTGTTGAGGGATGACGAAGTCAACGAAAGATGGAGAGTTTATTTTAAAAAATTATTACATGATGAACACAAAGGGAACATAGTGGTAGAAGGGACTGTTGTAACAAGTGACGACGGAGGCTATAGATACATTCGTAGGATTAGGATGTCGAAAGTGAAAGAAGCTTTGAAAAGGATGAAAATAGAAAAGGCTTTAGGATCCGATGGTATCATAATAGAGGTTTGGAAGTGCATGGGGGAAATTGGCATTGATTGGCTGACGAAGCTGTTCAACAAGGTGTTGAGAACAATGAAAATACTAGATGAATGGAGGAAAAGTATTGTAGTACCTATTTAAAAGAACAAAGGAGATATACAAAATTATGCAAACTATCGGGAATCAAGCTTATGAGCCATACTATGAAGCTCTGGGAGAGAGTCATGGAGCAACGACGATAGGTATGAAATGAGTGTATCTGAAAACCAATTTGGTTTTATGCTAGGAAAATCTACAGCTGAGGCTATTTTCCTACTTAGGCAACTAATTGAGAAGTTTAGGACGAAGGGAAAAGACCTTCACATGGTCTTTATTGATCTAGAGAAAGCTTATGGTAGAGTACCTCGAGATTTGATTTGGAGGGTGTTGGAAAAGAAAGACGTTTCTAGACACTATATCGACTTGGTGAGAGATATGTACGATGGAGCAGAAACTAGTGTACGAACAACTAGTGGAGAGACGAACGAGTTTTCAGTGACAATAGGTTTACATCAAGTGTCAGCATTGAGCTCGTACCTATTTGTCTTAGTTATGGACGACTTAATTAGGCACCGATAGAGTGAGGTACCGTGGTGCATGTTGTTTGTAGATGATAAGTTTTGATTGATGAGACTCAAAAAAGCACCTCTCTTATTCGGGTTGCTAGGCTTGAAAGCCGTAGTTTGCAGGCTCCCCAGCCTCGTTTATGGAAGTGCCACTAATCTCATACGTACGTTTGCATTGACAAATGTAATGATTATATAGCAAAAAACACTAATCATAGCATTTGTCAATGCAAACGTGCCTATGTTCTATCCTAAGATATAGACTTGAATGCACATATGTGCATCATACTTACCTTTGTGTTATCTTTAGATTTGGAATTGAATGCACGTCCTTGCATCATACGTACTTTGGTGCCACTTCAACTACCAAACATCCCACACTCTTATAAGAATCTCTTACAGCAAAAAACTCAAGAAGAAGGGGAACCCCTCCCCCAATACTTTGTTTACGAATATGGCCCCCCATCTAATAGGCTTTTTAAGGCATCCGTTACTCTGAGAGGCCAAACTTTTTACTGTGAGGTCTCTCTTGCTAAAAAAGCCACTGAGAAATTAGTCGTCCAGCAGACACTTATTCTCATTGATCACATACCAACCCTCTCCCAAAAATTGGAAAACTTAGAGAGGGAGTATGATGCCCTAAAATCCCAAAATATCGAGTTGTCTCGGTCATCACTTGTTGAGCAGCAAACCTCCAAAATGCATGAGCAAGAGAGCGTGCATGTTAAAGCTGAGCTAGAGATGCTGCGCAATCAGTTAGATGATCTTAAGCATACTACTTCACATTTTTCTAATGAGATCCCTAGCTCATCCCCTTATAATGTGGTTGCCTTGACCCTATTTATGATTTAAACGAGTTGAATGAGGATCTGCATACTTGGGTCGCCCCTCCTCAGCTCACATTTTATTGGCTTTGTAGTCTGTGGGGGTTTGTTCTATGGTAATGATGCGAGGTTTGTATGGGATCTTTTTGATGGGGCGTGGACTGCTGCTTATGTTTTGGGATTTTTAAGTGTTTTGTCAAGGACTTGTTGATGTGAATTATCCTGAACTTTTATCTCTTTTTGGTGTAGATGTTTATTTTTGTCACCAATAGCCGTTAGTGGGTATTGGTTTATGGACTTTGAATCTCTTTCTCCTCTCATAAATTTTTTTCTTCCTCTTTCTCTATTGGGAACTTTGGATGTATGGACTGAAATATGTAAATGATGCTATTTCTATAACATGACTGTTTGGTTCTTTGTTTTTTTATTAGTAAGTGGGTTATTTATTTGCTCATTTTTTTATTTCAATCGGTATTTTTTTATGTACTGTGTTTAGTTGTGGTTCATGATGCGCGGACCTTATGAGCTGATTGCGATGGTCTCAGATTTGAATCAAAGGCCATGTCAGATAACCATATGAATCAAAGCTTTGTCTTGGTTGTAATGTCTTGAAAAAGACAAATTCACACCCGTTGCCCCCCAAGAGGCACTGGAATAGGTTCTTCTTCGTTTGAAACTAGATTCGTTGACTCAAACTCATATTGGTTTTCCCTGTCTTGCTCTAGTTTCAATGATTTTGTCATATACTCACATGAACCCCAATTACAGAATTAAGCCATTTCATTTTGCAGGATTAGCTATGTCAAGCCATTAAGATGTATAAACTCCGGTTGGGGGTTATCTTTAAAGAAAAAAAAAAAACTACACTATGTATTTGGTGGTTAGAGAGAGAGAAAGAGAGAGGTGGAAGGTTATCCTTCTTGGAAGAAATTCATATATCGCATTTGGTGGGGAGAGAGAGAGAGAGAAAGGGGGAGAGAGAGAGAGAGGAGGTAGTAGTAGTAGGAAAGTAAACTTAATTTCGTTAGTTAAAGTAAAACGTAGTAAGGTTAGGGTTGTTAGTAAGTTAGGTAAGGTAAATTAAAGGTGGGTAGTTT